AATGGCAGACGTGCCAGTCTTATATAGAACCTTCATACCCCGCGTATGGTCTGAGTATAGAGTAGTATAAGCCTTCCTTATACTTCCTTATTCTCCGGTAGTATAGAGTAGTATAAGCCTTCCTTATACTTCCTTATTCTCCGGTAGTATAGAGTAGTATAAGCCTCCCTTATACTTCCTCATACTCCCTAGTCACATGATCTTCTGTAAGGAAGAAATCCTTGGATCGCTTAGCTACCCTAAGCGATCCCTATTTGCTATAAGAAATCTGAATGTGCCTGTCGAGGGTTGCGCCTCTTATTATGACAAGTATCACGTGAACACGTGATTCGTGACATAAAGGTAGTAGCTTTATAGATAAGCGTTAGGAGGAGTTATAAGAAGGGTATATTTAGAACTATAATCTATATAGGAATATTATAATTAAAGACCTTAAAATAGTTTAGTAGTCATATAAGAATCGATACTAGGAGTATTATAAACCTTATAAGGTAAACTCTTAGTTATTTAGAAGTAGTTACTTTATTTAATATATCCTAGGAAAATTTATTAATTCCCATTTAGTATAAATTATATATATTATTTATTATTAATTACCCTCTTATTATTAGATTCGAACTAATATTTATTAGAAATCTAAGTCTAAAGCTTTAAAAGTAAGGAGGCTAGGAGTTAAATATATTACTTAAAAACTAGAAAAATTAGTTTAGTTCTAGTCGAACTTACTTAGGCGTTAGTAGAACTCTTAGAACTTACTAAACTTATAAGAGTACTATTACTAGTAAGACTAAGGAATTAGAGGGCTATTAATAACTATATAAATAAGAAAATCTATTAAATAGATTCTAAGACCTTAAATTACTTTAGCTTCTAGCGTAAGGAGCTATATTATCTTAGTCTAGCTAAGTTTCATAAGCTTCTTATACTAATTATCTCTAGCTATAAAAAGAGCTTAGAATATAAGGAACTTATTACTCTAAAAGTGTGACGACACGCACAGCTGATGGACCGCGCAAGAGCACGACTACGTCAGGTACCACGAGTGGTGAGATTGACACTGTGGAACTGTCTATTCGAGGATTCTAAGCTAAGGAGAGAAGATAAGAGAGCAGAGCTCGGGAGCCAGAGGTTCTTATATACAGGAGGTTGTGCCAAGCTATGGCTAACTGAGCCGGGCTCAGGAAGCACGGTATCCGCTGGGTTCCAGCCAGGGGCTGGTCTGAGGTGTAGTGGCGGTTAGAACCGTCACAAAAAGATTATATAGAGTATTTAGCGTAAAAGGCGTAATAACCTATATTATCTTTTAATATATAATAAAGTTATACTCTTTAATCTATAGAGTAATAGCTAGATTAGCGAATATAGTAAATAAATTTAGAACTACTCTAGCTAAAGTACTAGAGAAGTAAGTATAGAGATAAAAGAATACTCTTTTATAATAAAATTGAATATACTTTATAAGTAAGGTAAGAGGTAAAAGAAAGAGCCTAAACTTATCTTACCAGATATATATAAGATAGTTAATTTAATAAAATAGATAATACTATATAAATTTAACTAATAGTATAGTCTTAAAACTAGATAATAGTATAAAGAACTAATAAAACTCTTAAATTCTATAGTAAATAAGTAAGATCTTTTCTTTAACTAATAATTTTTATACTCTAAGCCTTACTATATAAAACTTTAGATAAACTTATACTTTAAGCTTTATAAATTAACTTTAAATAGTTTAATTATAAACTATAGATAGAATAATATATTTATAACTTAATAAGATAATTTACTAATATCTAATTAGTAAGCCTGTGACGGTTCTAACCGTCACCACCATTCGGATCACGTGGTCTCGCTTAGCGACCCACACCAAGTATTTAGATCGAAGCTCTCTCGAGCCCTCCTCTTCTCCTCAGCTTAGAATCTTTGTTTAATTGACAGTTCTACGATTCCACAACCTACACCGTGGGCTTTGCGTACGTGTCGTCACAAAGCCTTATTGATTTAATCTACTAATAGCTTAAACTTTACTAAAGAGTAATAGTTATACTAAGATTACCTTTAAGTAATAGTACTTTTACTAAGATAGTAAGATCTTTATATTTTATTAACCTTTAAGTAAGAGACTAGGTAGCTATAAGCTATATATTTTAAAATATTAGAAGAGAATAGGGTTTAGTATTTATAGTTATATTTTATAAATACTTTTATATTTACTATCGAATTTATTATTATTATTAAATATACTATATACTAAATTTCTAATTTTTAGTAGGTTAAGAATAGGGATATATTATACTTAATTTTAGTATTTTAGTAATTTCTAGATAGCTAGAATTTTAAGTGGTCGGATATATTATATAGAGATTTAGTAGTTCTTTCTATACTTTCCTAGGCTATATAGCTTATTAGTATAATAATAGTAGCTACTTAATATAATATTTTTAGAAAAACTTTCACTTTTTTATATAGTAGAGGATACTTTTTTTTAGGTAGATTTTATTAATTAATATAGAATAATCAGTAAGATTCAACCCCGTCATAGACTACATAGTTATAGACTACCGTAGTCTATGCGGTATAGACCGCGCTCCCACTGGGGGACCAGTTTATCATATCGTTGCTGACGGACAACACAACTCTTCAGGAACTCAATTGGAGTTCCGTCTTGTAACACCGCAAGTTGTACTGTATGCTCTATCTAAAAATACTAAGAGCCCACAAAATGGAAGCGATGAGCGAGGACCGTGCTACATATAGAAGCTCGAAAACCCGAATTTGGATTATACTTCTGTGAAATTGGGATTGAATGTTGCGAGATAGGGGATCTTTACTGTATCCTACCGTAGGAGGGATGTAAAGCAGCATTGCCCACACTAGGAACGAACCTTGGCGTACAATTTAGTAAATCATCCGATCTTCCTCTTCTTTATGTTTGTGAAGTTGATAATAATAAACTGCATCTGGGAAAGTATAGATACATACTCGAGTACGGTGGCGATGGATACTTGCAGGGTTCAGGGGTGTGAATTTAGCAGCAGGGAACAGTGAGTGTTTTTTCTTCAGAGTGGGAGACTCTTTGTGGACAAACAACCAGAATATTTGGTCCCTTCCATTGTTGAGTTCTTCCAGGAAACTAGAAGCTGCATGACATCCACACTGCCTCTAAAGTATGAGTACATGTTACCGCAAGCTTATGATCAGTGACGTTGGGCATCCCATGTTATCAACAGTGGGGTAAAGCGGGGTTACGGGGAGTAGTTTATTGCACATTACACAGGTATTCAAACCATTCTGTGCTTCTTATCTAGGGACAGGTAGCCGATTTAATGGCATCATACCTTAACAAACTGCCCGTAACTTTGGACGGTTGATAGAGATGGGTGAAAGTTGACTGTTGTGCCCGTTATCTTGGACAAACTGCTCTAAGCAAATGACCCTTGAAAGAAGATCTCCAAAACCAATTGCTTAGCCAGTGGGGCAATGCAACCAGATGTACTTAGATATTTGTTTTATGCAACGTTCCACCTCTTATAGCAATTCTATATCACGTGCCTATTTCCATAATTCCATTTGCTTTAAATCTGTAATTTTCTTAGTTTCATTCCAATTTAATTGTTCGCAATCATGGGTTTCGTTCCTAGTTCTGTATTCTCGGCCCTTCAATTATTGGTGTTGGCTCTTCCAAGTATGTTCACTTCTAATCGCGAGAACTTCGAGTGTATTGATATGCCTTATAGTAGTTCATGCCCGCTTAGTAGGCATCCCAACCGTCCCTTTCACGGAATCGAGTAAATACTCGACATTCCCACTGAACGACCTCCGATCAATTGTTGTGGATACGAAATATGCAGACGCAATTGACCTGGAAGGAGAAACATTAATTCCTCCTACCCTCACCGAGTTTGCCAATACCTTTAGCTCAGATCTCGAGTCTTCCTTAGGACTCAGTATTCCTGTTCAAATTGATTCCGGGGCTTCAACAAATTCTGTCTTTTTAACTGTGGCCGAAGACAATAGCACCTTCACAGATGCTGCTGGAAGGGTCACAAGTGAGGGGTACACGCTAAATGTCACTTCGGAATCGATCTTCATAACTGGTGCCAGTCCTCTTGGTGTGTTTTGGGGAACTCGTACACTCTTGCAGCAAGCCGTTCTGGGAGAACTAATTGTTCCCCTTGGCGTTGGTACTGATTCTCCAGGATGGAGAAACCGTGGGATCATGGTATGTGTATTTTCTTTGCTTCTTCCGTACCTCAATTTCTGGTCTATCCCAAGGCTAATGTGTAATTGAAGATTGATGTCGCAAGGAAGTATCACCCAAAAGAGTTCATAATTGAGATGTGTGCCTACCTCTCATTTTACAAACAAAACACATTCCACTTGCACCTAAGCGATAATCTCTACAACAATGTTGCACGGTATTCTATTGAATATGCCAAAACACTCTACGCCGCGTTTCGTCTCAACTCCGATGATCCTCTCCTCGCTGGACTTTCAAAGCGTGCAAATGAGTCCTACTACCGGGAGGATTTCGAAGAGATGCAGCAAAAGTGTGCATCTCGTGGAGTCACAATCATCCCAGAAATTGAAACACCAGGCCATACAATGGTGATCAATCAATGGAAGCCAGAACTCGCACTTTCAACCGATTTCAGTTTACTCAATCTGACCCATCCGGAAACACTTCCTACGATCAAAACGATCTGGAAGGTATTACTTCCATGGATGCACAGCAAAACGGTTTCAATAGGAGCAGATGAATACGACTCGACCTTGAGAATAGAGTACAATGCTTTCGTCAATGCGATGAATGACTTTATTGCCGCAGAATCTGGCAAGAAAATCCGTATTTGGGGAGCCTTCCCTCCCGTGCCTAACTCTACTAGCAATGTCAACAAATCGGTGTCTATCCAGCACTGGGCAAGTTTTGAAGACAATGCCAGGACAGACTACATTGACAACGATTACAGCGTTCTCAACACCGCAGACGATTTTTATATGGTTGGCAAAAGTCCGTTCTCATGGTATCCTCCATATACCAATGTCACCGAACCGTTCTCTGGGGGACCACAAGGTGGACCATATTACCCAAACACGTTCAATAATGCAAACTCAAGCGACAATCCACCCTTGGACAGCCCGTACCTTTTAGGGCATATCGCTGCTTTGTGGAATGATATTGGTCCCAATGCGACTACAGTCATGGAGGCATACTATTCTTTCAGAGACGGGTCACCAGGTCTCGCGGATAAGCAATGGGGAGGCGACTTGGAGTATGAAGAGTACAAGTTGATTTTTGACAAGCTTCATGCTGCGATTCCTGGGCAGAATCTTGACTGGGCTATTCCAAGTGTGTCAGATACCATTCTAAGTTATGATTTTACAAAAACGAATGGTACTATGGTCAAGGACGCATCGGGCAATTCTTGTAAGTCACTCAGACTTCTTTCTTCTAACACATTAGCATACTGACAAGTGACAGACGATGGGACTTTCCAAGACCTAGGATTCAACCCTATTAATGATACCGCCATCACCTTCAACGGAAAAGGGTTCATCTCAACTCCTCTGGATAGCAAAGGAAGAAATTACACATTATCTTTCTCAGTCAGGCCAACATCCGAAACTCAAGGGACCCTCTTCGAGGGTTCCCAAAACGCCCTTCGAACCGGAGATGGCGGCACCATTGGAAATATTACCATGATCAGCGGTGGAAATCCATATACCCTCAACTATACACTTCCAATCAATGTCTGGACCGATCTCAGTCTGGTAGGTGCAGGAAATCAGACATTTTTATATGTTAAAGAAGGGGAAAGCTCGACAGTAGTCCATGAATTTATCACTCGTGAAGGATACATGGGGGAGAATACTTACTGGTATCCTATCGCTTTTGAAGCCCCACTCGCAAAGATCGGGGAAGGATTTGAAGGCCAAATGAAGTGTATCACCTTAATGGGAAGTGCTTGATCTCGGTTTCCTGAAGCATTTCGAATTACACAGAAGTAGATAGGCTATCTCATTGCTAGTTTGCAAATGAAGTCACGATTGAATTAAGCATATCTTTTCACTGATTGGTATTGTTCTGTGAGAATGGTTGACATGATTTCTTGAAGCTGGCGCCATTGCTCCAGTCTCGTGATGGACAAGAAAAGTGTAAGATAACTTTTACTGTTGTCTAATATCTTCTGAATAATTCATTCTGAGGAACTATCCTTTCGGGAGATTACACGCGATTGTCGGAGATAAGTATACTGGGTCCGATTTGGCTGAGAAAAGGGGGATCCACTAACTCCTCACATAGCAACCTCAGGATTTATCTAATAAAGACACTATCGGCTCTCGGGTATTAAAATCAATCTTAAACGTTTGCGCCACGTCATAAATTGGGTAAAGGGACATCTGTGTACCCTGATTGAGGTCATATCAAAATAGCCTCATTTTGAACACTTGCCCCGCATATACACTATGGTTATGTCGTAATAAGTTTTCAATAACACTTGGCATCGTACTTAAGCATACTTGGCGACCATTTTCTACCTTTCAGCGTCAAGAGCTGTTGATTTACATCAGCAAAGTCATTGGAGAACCACTTTCACACTGTGCCGACCATAAAATGTGATAGTATTTATCCTTCCTTGGCGAAGAAAGCGATATCATATTGTTTTATAAAAACTCGGCAATTCCTCTCCGGTAGTCATGTCAAAGCGTATTTACTGCTCGATGGAGCAACTCCTATGCCACTTCGAGCTGGAAGTCTTCGAGTACCTTGACAGCTCACAACCATGGATATATCAACTCATAAAATTGGTGCTTTTGGCAGAATTTGTCAGGCAATTTCTGTGTTTCTTTTTATTTTCGCAATTCCAACAATCTCATCACCACTTTACAATTCAGAGGCTCCATCTGCTGCTGGTGAGTACGATTACGTTGTCGTAGGAAGCGGACCAGGAGGAGGAACCGTAGCCTCAAATCTCGCTAGAGCGGGTTACTCCGTCCTACTTGTGGAGGCCGGTGATCTAAGCAATGCAGGATCTGGTGGCCAATATCCCCCTCAATTGACATAGGACTTCTTCGTAAAACATTATGAAGACTCTGCAAGACAAAACAGATACAGCCATCTGACCTGGAGAACGAAGGAGGGTTCCTACAGGGTCGGCCGAGACAACCCACCCGCTGGCGCAAAGCTGTTGGGCTTTTATTATCCAAAAGGAAGTACAGTTGGCGGTTCGTCGATGATAAACCAGATGGTGACTTTCTTGCCTCCTGAGAGTGACTGGAATTATATCGCCAATCTAACGGGAGATCAATCATGGAGGTAACGAGATAGGCGTAAGCGAAAAATGAATATCCTATGCTAACTGGATTACAGTGCGGCAAACATGCGTTCAGTATTCACACGAATCGAACACAAGAACTATCTCACGAAGGGAACAGCCGGCCATGGATTTGACGGTTTCTTCCAGGTATCAATGGCCAAGGCGCAAAACGTTCAGAATCCAGGTCTTGCTGTGTTGAACGCTGCTGCTGCCACATTCAACCAACAAACTAGTCAAGTTACAACTCTGCTTAACACGGATCCTAATAGAGCAGATCTAAATAGAGATCAGACAATTAGCATCTTTAGCCTTCCGTCGTATACTAAAACCAATAGACAACGATTCAGTTCTAGGGATTATATCTAGGACACTATTAATAGAAAGTTCAACTTAACTCTTTCCGTAAATTCTCTTGTTACAAGAGCTCTATTCAGTAGCACAAAATGTGATAGAAAACCTCGAGCTACTAGTGTCGAATTCTTGACTGGCAAATCAATATATAAGGCGGACCCTCGTTATAACTCGAACAACAAAGGAACCATCAAGCAGGTCACAGCGTGGAAAGAAGTTAGTAAGTGAACTTCAAATTTCTGCCAAAACATACTTTCTTTGCACTCAGAGCATGCTTGAACTTCATATTCCGTTTGACACTGCTGACCTTAAGAATTTTACAGTAATATCTGGTGGTGCGTTCAACACCCCACAAATCCTCATGCTCAAGACAAATCACGCCCTTTACAACGAACGGGATATCCTCGTATTCCATGGACCTTTTGTGTTTCGCGGGTTCTGGCCCAGTAATCAAACGAATGTCGCTTTGCCCAATGATCCTGTTGGAGTTTACGGCATGTCAATGGTCAAAATGCATCCACAGAACACTGCTGGCACGGTGAAGCTTACATCTTCGAATCCCCAGGATATACCAGATATCAACTTCAATCTCTCCAAAATCGGCCGTGAGACAGATCTGGGTGCCATGAAAGATGTTGTTACATGGGCAAGAGGAGTTTACGGGGCTATCAAAGCACCAGCAGGACCCGTGAAGTTACTAGAGCCACCACCAGGAAAAACTAAGGCAGAAGATGAGGATTGGATAACAGCCCAGACTTTTGGACATCACCCAACAAGCACGTCTACAATTGGGAGTGACAATGATCCTATGGCCGTGTTAGACTCGAGATTCCGAGTTCGTGGAGTGACAGGACTGAGAGTGGTGGATGCGAGCACCTTCCCCCGAATTCCCGGAGTCTTTCCTGTGGTAGCGACATTCATGGTTGGTCAGAAAGGATCTGATACGATCATTGAGGATGTAAAAAAGCCGGATGTATGCTGAGCGGTTGCGTATTTCTGGAAGATTGTTGTATCAGATAGCAAACACATGAATTTTTGGATATCATCTTATGAGTAGTACTATACAGTCGATCTTTACAGACTGCAGTTTGTCGATGCAGGTGATTCCCATGCTGCTGCGTCCCACAGCGATTAAGCGAAGCCTGAGTGGTCAGTCCTAGCGGAATCGTGGCTATTCACCCAGCCAAATTGCGCGACTGTTTGAACCTTAAGCCAGGGGGAGAGAAGGAACGGGTCTCCATCCGCCAGAGTATAAACACCCCTCTTACACCTGAACTTTCAGTTTCAGTCCTTGAAAACCTTAGGTAACAAATCACGGGATGAATCCGAGGTCTGCAGCTACCCTAGAAGGAACCCCCATTTGAAATACTATAGTGCTACTGTTACAGTTTTACCCAGTGGGAGCGGTTGTATATACCTTATATACATCCGGGAGTATATAAGGTATGAACTTTTTTACATACGCTCGGTTATCTATACCCTATCGACAATTTTTTATACCTTATCTATACCCGGTAATATATAAATAGTTACTAAAATGTCCGCGGTTATATATAAATTATAACTCTTTTCTCTATAGTTTTATACTTATTTCTATACTTATTTCTATAAGTTATACCTAATAATAAAGTTCTTATATAGAATACTATAGAGTTAAATAAAAGACTATTAGAAACTAATAGAACCTTTTATAAATCTTTTTTTTTATTTAAAAAGACTTCTCTCTAAATAATCGGTTATCTATAAAGTATAGACTCCCGGGAGTCTATACCTTATATATACCCGCTCCTACTAGATAAAGAGATTCTTAATAAAATAAGGTTTTTTTTAGGTTTATAGGCTTAGGAGAGTGTTTATTTAGGTATTCTACTTAATTATAGGGAGTTTAAGATTTTTAAATTTTTAATGTTCTATAAAATTATTAGTTATATATAAGGTATAGACTAGGTATATATAAGATATAAACCTTTCTGCTCCCACTGGGTTAACTGCTATAAATCTTTAATACTATAGCACCATTACTTTAGTTCATAACATATTGATATTATACTTAGGTAGCGCTTAAGAGGTTCCAGATATCCAGACTGAAGTAAACATTAGTGAAAGCTACCATAGCATCCAAACACGCAGTTTCATGAACTCATACTGTATTCTTCAAATGCGGCATTTATAAATCCGGCCTTAGCTTGGCTCGCAAATCTATTGCCCTAATCTTGTGGAACTCGCTTTCTAAGATCATTCCCTTTTGCTGAAGGAGCACAGCAAATCTATACTCGGCTCTAGCGAGTTGATCTTTTCCCTCATTCAAGGTTTCCACAATCGACACGAGCTCTTGGAGCAATTCGCTGGTATTTTTCAGCCATGCTCCTACTTCAGAAAGGAAATAAAGGGAATTAAGGAGCCTCATGTTGCAGATGCCCCCTTTTCTTGTCTACACAGTACCCCTGCCGCGTCATATAATGAACCACAGGTCTTCAAACGATTTCCCGAGAATCTTTTAGCGAAAATAAAGTGCTTTAGAAGCGAGATACATCGCATCGTCGAATCGTTTTGAAGGAGCCGAATTCGTGCCAGCAATACCACAGAACCCTCACAGCGTCCTTATAAAGGAAAGAGTCCCAGAATCACATCGTATACATCCAATCTGCCTTAAAGCCTCCTTGGCCATACTCTACGCAGACGGCCTTCTTCTTCTGGCAGCAGCGATGCTCCCATGCTATTGATACAGAAAAGTGGACCACAAATACGATTACGTATCCGAGCACTAAAAAAACCCATGGGCTTCCGTGGTGGCCATCAGAGAATCGATACATAAGTAAGGTCAGAGCGGAGTTGGCAGCCTTTTCTCCCAATAGGAGAAGTGTCGATGCCAACTGCTCATACCATTTTCTCGTCGGTCGTGGTAGTGAAGATTTAATGTCCCGCAAGTCTTCTTGAATAGCTTTATGGTTTCTTGTAACTACTCGTGTCAACTCTTTCAATTCTTTCGGAATGGCGAATTTCTTCTGGAAGTTCAGTTAGTACGGCATTCCGAATCTACTACTAAACCAGATAACTAAATCGCAAATCGCAAATCGCAAAAGTCATATATTTACTACTACTATGCTAGAGTGCCCCCACCCTCGCTCAAACTTCGTAGCCTTGAAATTTTCACGTGTATACTCACTACCCTCGCTGTCGCACCCTCGCCGTCGCCTATACTCACTGTCGTATAGGGGTTGTACTCTAGCATGTTATTTAGAAGAGGGAGAGAGAGAGAGAGAGGGGCGGAGAGGACAGAAGCGGGGAAATATTTTCGTGTGTGTCGCTTATCCTAGCCTCGAATACTACCTTCCTAAATAGCTAGGCTATTACGTATTACACTAACAATTGTTTACTACCTACCTTTCCTCGCTCTCCCTCCTACTTACTCTTCTCTTTCTTTACAATAACAATAGCAACAACGATAGCAACAACGATTAACGATAGTAACAATAATAATAAGAGGGGATATAAAGAGGGGATATAAGTATATTTATTAGCTAGGGGAGACTCCTGTTAGGGGGGGCGGGGTAGAGTATAGGGGCGGGAGGAGGAGTTAAAGGAGCGTTCGAGTTATATTCAAGGGCAGGAGAATTCGAGTTAAATTCGAGGGAAGGAGCATTCGAGTTAGATTTAAGCTTATTTATTTATTTATTTACTTATATCGAGTAGTTTTACCTTTAATTCTAGCGCTAGCATATAACCCTAACCCTAAGCTACTTTAAGATTTACGATTTACGACTTACGATTTCCTATAAAATAACCTTAATAGTAACTTTTGCGATTTGCGATTTAGTCATCTAGTTTAGTAGTAGATTCGGGATGCCGTAGTTAGTAAATAACTATTGGATGAGAAGAAAATGAGATTGTTTGAAAAAGATTAACAATAAAGTGATAGAAATAAGTTTCATACATCTTTTCCAATAGTATAGATAAGGCCGTAACTTCAAACAAATCCCAGTAGAAGGGCAATAATAATATCCAGTTGCCTTTGCTTCACATACCAGTAAACCAGTCTCTCCCTCGACAAATACTTCAGTGTAGTCCGAAGCACCAGGCCAATCCTTAAATCGAGTTCGGATTATTGTAGGACTTGTATATGCCAAAGTGGCTCCATCGGCGCGCCAGGCGTTACAAATCCCTGTGATTTCATCTTCTGAGAAGGTGGTTTTCTTTTTTAGTGAAACCTTCAACCACTCCTGAGTCTGTATAACAGTCATGTATTCGAGAGTAGTTTGGCGTTTGTGTTGCTGCATGGCTGCATATATTGTGTCTCGATCGAACAGATGTGTGTCGGTTGGCAGTGGTAAATTTGTGTCTCGTAGTATAGGTGCAACGAAGTTTGGATATTTTGGTGCTGCCAGAAGTGGTTGCGTCTCATTTTCCGAAGACACTTCTGGTAGAAGCTTTTCGATAATCTTTCTTATCAAGTTTCCTGTCATCGTGGTTTCCTTGAGGCTTTTTGGGTTCTACATGTTACACTTCCGAGAATGGTAGAAGGATCGAATGACTTTATACATTCTGCGAGCAAGGACTAGACACTTAGCGCAATCGAATTTAACTTTAGGCTCGGCTAAGATGAGCCGATTTTAAGAGGTAGTGAGAGCGGCTAATGACGAAGAATCCCGGGAGCCCAGATTCTAGAAGGGCCGTTGTACTAGAAAGGGAGAAAGCTTAATAGTCGGTGCGTCTTTCCACTGCGCTATCTCGTAGCGGCTCCGCACTCAGGGTGAGTTGATTCAACCAACAAACTAGCCAGGTCACAAATCTGCTTAACACAGATCCTAATAGAGTAGATCCAAATAGAGATCAGAAACCCGGCATCTTTGGCCTTCCGTCGTATATGAAGACCAATGGGCAACGATTTAGTCTAGGGATTATATCCAGGATACTATTAATAGAAAGTTTAATTTGACTCTTTCTATAAATTCTCTTGTTACAAGAGTTGTTTTCAGTAGCACAAAATGTGACGGAAAACCTCGAGCTACTGTTTATCACAAATGAAGTAGAAGATCCACATTTCCCATCAATATGTATACAAAAACACCACCGAATTAATCCAGAGCTTATTGAAAGTGACATGCATGACTGTCGTCATGAATTTCCGAATCTACATAGCAAGCTATCTGCAAAGATCAAACATCTAGAAAGCAGCAAACCACAAACGTGGAAGGATCTCCGGCTAAATAAACCCGACCCAGCTTCGTGGCTCACATTCTGGGCTGTACTGATTGTTGGAGGATTAGGGGTATTTCTCGCATTTGGTCAGGTTGTACCCCACATTGTTCACATTACAAAACAATAAACAGATTGTTTGTCGAATTAAACGTAAGCAAAAACCATAGAACAGAAACTCCTTAGACATTCCGTTCTGCCCAACTTTGGACAACACCCTTGGCACTTGCTTCGTAATCTTTTATGGCCACATTTTCTCCATCCTAGAAAGTGTTCGCTTGCACAAAAACCCATTTTGGTTGCTTTTTCGCTAAAACAATCTTGCGCCACACGAGATGCTCTTTACCTACGCGCGAAAGTTCTTCGTAATAAGAGCGGCAAGAAACAACATCGGCGGTGGATCTATACATGTGTAGTCTCAAAAGCATCTGCCCTAGTGCCGGTTTACCATGGCTGACGAACTTGGATCGATGAACTCGGACAATAAGTCGCTCTGTCGCAAGATCGCATTCGATGGTCATAAAACCACCACCGTCTAGAAGTAAACACTTCAACATGGCGAAATGGGCCTACAAGGTGTCATTGATCTGCTTGAATCTCACAAATGAAAAAAGCCTTGAAGTTGGGTTCATACTCTGCTGTGTGCCTGTCCCCATTTCCAAAAGAATGTAATATCAGAGCCAACGTTCATTTCAGTGGTGGACTATGCACTTACCGCATCATCTATGTTTAAGTTTTGTAAACCTCGGAGGCCATGGACTCCTAGCTGGAGATAAAGATTATATGTGACTGAAAGGGCTATGAGTATTAAGACATCAGATGATTTGGTTTATATGCTTACAGTCTTCAGCAGTGATTTCAGACTCATCAGCGAATCCGAGAAACGCAAGCAGCTCCTTGTCATCCAACAAATATGCACCCACAGGCTCTGCTCGACATTCATCAACAGTTGTGGCTTAATCCCCAAACTGGCCAGTCCAGGTTTGACCAGCTTTGTACCAACTAGAAATCGGCTTCTCAGTGATGGGATCAATTGGTGGATTGTTGATGTCGAAATTGAACCTCCCGTCATTTTCTTGACACATGAGTTTTCCAGTCCCATAGCCCAACAGCTCGTGAAGGACAACCCACTAGTAGTATGCTGGGTACTTGTGTTTTTGAAATCTCTCGGCTTCGCAGCTATCGATAAAAGGACAGAGTTCTGTTTTGCTGCCTACTGCACTCATGCGATTAGCGATAATGACATTTTTGAAGCCACATTCTTGACGAATATCGTTGTACTAACACCCATTAGCACTGCATTCTAATGAGGTGATTCAAAAATAGCACACATTGGGAAGATTGATTCCTGGAAATATTATACTTGAACAATACGCCAATGCTTCCATTGTTAGCCTGGTAAATGCCTTTTTGCGCGCACTTACCATGGATGCTTGAAAAGTCCGGTGGATCGAAAAGTGCCTTTTCAAAAGGTCCCTCGCCGTTATTTTCAGGTGAATTACTGTTCGCCCAAGGAAGCCTCTTAATAAATTTCGCAGAGCTCTCGACAATTTCTATTAGGATCTTTGTTTCGTTTGGATCAGATATGGCTACCAAACCTTCGAACTCTGCTCTGATCCCATGTGGGTCTCGGTAGGGTTCAACGAAACCAAAGATATTCTCGACTCGGCTTGGTGTCTCTAATCCAGGTTCTCTGTGAGTCGCGGTAAGTACCTAAATTGCCTGTCCGAAAGCTCTTTACATATTCCGCCAAGAACCTTCGCTGAATTTCGTTTGCGGAGTATTTAGATGCTTCTGTGAGACAGGAAGAGATTTTTTCCAACTCTTCAGAATGATCTCCACGAAATATGCGTACAGAACCCTTACCATCTGGTAAGAGAAACTCTTCACGATGTTCCTCTTTGTCTACTGAAGCTTGCAAGACTTTGAAAATAGCACGATCCGTTGTCTCGACTTTCTGGATTCTTATATTTTCCGGAAAGACTGAACGTTCTTCTAGTGCTTTTGATATGGCAGTAATCTCTTCTCTAGTGATGGTGAGAGATTCAGGGTAATATGAGCTCTGCGTGAGCTTGCTTGGGAATCCGAGACTGAAAGGTGGCAAAGATAGTATCGGCTGGGCAACCTTTTCGTAAAGTTGTTTCAATTTGGAGGATTTTGCAGTGAGCTTATTGAAGAACTCAGGTCCCACGACCGGAATGAATTTCTGATCACCGGAACCCTACGTATAATCAGCTAGTAGAATAGTTTAATGTAGATGCAAGACAGACATAATAATTCCCAATATTCGACAAGAAGGACGCGGCGTATTCAAGGAATGCATCAACCTCCCCTAAACTGATGTCAAATTCACTTGCCAGACTCTGCCAGTCGCCTGAACAATTACTGTATATTTCCAGTAAAAAGTCAAATATGTAAATAGATTCTGGTGAGACTTGTCGAAGTATGATTCGCGTGCCATGCCATGCCGCTCTTGAACCCATATCATCATATCAGCAATTGCCAATTTGGGGATTTCATGCTGAAGCGAAGAACTGACCATGAAATGTGGTGAGCATACAGCTTTTCCTGGGTCGAAAGGCTCTCAAATGCTGCTTGTATGCCTACTTGGTGAACCGGAGGTGCCATTGCCGAGTATTAATCACGTGTGGATATTTCACTTAGGTATTGCGATGGAACGGAGGAGTAGATGGTGTAGAGTAGCCTCATCAAGTAGTGATGGAGTAGAGCAAATCAATGTCTCTGTTTGGAGTGGCATATCAATGATGCAGATGCAGTGAAGGTGCTTAAGTCATGTGACACGCGAACAAACTTATCCCAGGCCTACCTGGGCAGCAATTTTGGTCCGCGCCCCGGGTACTAATGAAAGACTTTCACATCTTTCAAGATACAGGGCAGACATTGATTAAAGTGATCCCCGAAGCTCAATTTCTCCGTCTTAGCAGAAGCTCACGTGGATATGTATGTTGGTTCTTAGGCTCGTAAGTCTCTATCTTGGAAGGGCAGATGAGTATCATTAAGTAAGGAACGTGGAAAAAGTTGAATTTGGCCAAAAAGAGATTTTATTCAAAGGTGAAACAGTACTCAATTAATGTTAATATCAAAAGATGTTCTAGCAAGAATACAAGAATACAAGAACCCAAAATCGCAAGGCTAAAGTGAAACGAAATGAAAAAAGGGACAAGGATTTCACTCAGAGAAGAACATTGTATTGGAGGTAACAAGAATAAAAGTTGGAAGGAAGGAAATATATATTCTATTCCTTCGTTCTCCTATCCTGGTTTTTGAAATGGAATTAAAACACATTTCGAGGTAAACAAAGATTGGTTCATTCAATATTTGTTGTCAGAGATGAAGTATCTAAGCAAAACATTTGTGTAAATTGCTGTTTGATGGCAAGCAAGCATACAGTAAAGCTACCATCAGGCGCCAACTAGCTAGTACTGAATCAATTCAGCCCCATAAACCAAACCTCCACCAACGGCCAGCTGTGAACCTCAAGTCTAAACCCAAAGGAACTCAAGATGAGCCCACCAATGATTCAGGTCTCCAAATAGCCCAAACCAAATACTAAACCAATGAGATAGAGAACTTCATCCAACACACTACCAACGCGGGCCTCTAAATATACAGACCAGGGGTATGACGTGTTGGCAGCTGTCCCGCACCACTGCGCCCGCTGAGCCGCAAGAGGGCAAGGATACAACCTCTTGAAGGATCTAGAGTACTAATCGGCCTTGCAAAGTCTAGGCATTCAGTCCAAAAGCCGACTTATTATTAGAGAATGGAAAGGTAACTAAACGGGATCTTGCACGCGATATTGGAAGAAGAACGAACGATTCCAACGGCATGTCAACTTGTAGTCACATTTCGAAGAGGGATTTATGTGCCTCTAGATGTGCGATCGCATATTTATTTTGGGGTGGACGGAATAAGGTGGAGATTGAAAACCAAGGTGCTTTTAAGAGAATGGAAAAATAGTTGACAGGGTGACTAGGGATCATAGTATATAATTTTCCCTCAAGATCCTTAAAATTTGGTGGTAGTCCATTACAAGCGCCTCCGGCTCCGAGTCAGTATGTTTGTGCTGCGCAAAAGACAAGATTGTAAGGATGAAACATGTTGGTACTAAGCCCACCACCAACATTTACGTGAAGTGCTCTTTCTGAAGATCCCACGAGATCGAGAAGTACGATTGCGTGGATTGTATTCAAATCTTGTGCAGGATGAAAGACTCGGTTCCCTTTCCATAGATTTTATATCGGAGCGAGAAAAATACAAATATCCCCCAAATCATATACCTTTGTTTCCTGTAAAATTACGACATATTTGTCCGAAAACAAATCTTCAATTTCGAATCGCCAGTATGAGACTATCTGAAAAGGTTTCCTCTCTCACTGCTGCCACTTTTTATTTCTGCCAATTTTCGTTAGCAACACCAACATGTTCAAACATCACAGATATTACCCACTTCAAGGACAACCCATCCAAGAGTTTGAGCTGGGATAAATGGTCTGAGACGTACCTGAAATCAGTCAATTGCCCCTCCGAAAACAAGACGCCATGTTCGTTTGATATTGGAAAAACATACAATTTGACAGCCCGCCGCCATCTCAAGATCACAGTGAGCCAACTCGAAGCAGAAAAGATCTACCTTTCAATACACAACTCGCGGCAGTCTCTTACCAATGAAACCCTCGATGTACTCATGGACCTAAACACCACTTTAAATCATTGGGATAAAGACGGGCATTGGCTTCAAGTTCAGCCAGGAAATAATAGATCGCTAGCATTCCATGAGCATCGCATGAGGACGACGGGTGTATTAAATGGGTGTGCGAATGAGACGCTCAATGGGCAGAAGTTTGAAGTCGTGGCGCCATTTTTGGAAACAAACGGAACTGAAACGTATAAGGGACAAAAGGTTGAGAACGGAAAAGTTCTGGCGGGAACATGGATTTGGTGGGATGCTCCTGCGTCAAACTTGACTACGAGTACTCCCGCTCCCACTCCAACTCCCGCTGCAGTTCCCGCTCCAGTTCCAACAGCAGGGACAAAAGGGGAGGATAAGAAAAATTCTGGGAACAGCTTTATGGGAGACATCCAATTTTTGAAAACTGTTATGGCTCTTTTGGTGGTAACGGTCGGGTTCGGAATGCTGTAGAAAGAGTCTCTGTGTATGTTTGTTGTTGATACCCAATTTCTGTTATATAAATGCGCACTTGCGTGAATGAAATTCTTGACCTTTGTCACACCTGGATAGCCTTTTACATGTGCTATGTACCGTACCGTATCAATCGAATCCCCCTGAGGTAAAGCTTTCTCCTAATTTCTCAAATATTGCGAAGTGGTAAGAACCTTCGTGTTCGACGATGTGCCTTCAAAATTTCGAGTGAGTTTTCGTTCCACGATCCACGATCCATATTATTATTATTATTATTATTATTATTCCTTTTAACGTGCTGTGTGAGTCTGAGACTATAGTAGCACGGCTGGGGGTTTCCCTCCAGCAGATAACTGAAACTGTACTAAATACATGTGTGAGAAGGGAGTTTTGGTGAATACAGTTATTGGGTTGTTGGAAGCAGCGAGGCTTCTGGTTATGACAAAAGACAAAAAAGAAAGTGTGTTTTAGTACGCCCCATGCGTTTCACGCCCTATACCACGTTCATTCTCGTCCTCGTCCTCGTTCTCATCCTCAGCTGCTCGTTGTGTGTGCCATAG